CATATAAGAATGACAAGAAAATTAACTGAGTTTTAAATCTGATCCACAAGGAAGCAAATATGTGCCTGAGTATGATAACTTCATGATGAGCAACAATGATGTATTAACTGCCAATTATATAATATTCTTAAATATAATAAAATCAAAATCACTTATGCTTATATTATACAGTAATATTACAATTACCAGTAGGATTTCAGGTTATCTGTAAACCTTTTGTGTAACTGTTAACCCTTTATAGGGCACTCAGGGAAATACTTTGACATTCAAAATTTCAACTTTAGAGTATTATCAGAAGACAGAAAAAGACCTTATTAGATTTGTGAAATTAAAAAAGTATTTTTATGGTAAAAAAAAAAAAAAAATCAAGGTCAATGAACTGACCAAGAACAGTCACCCTCCCTATGGTGAAAAAGAAAACAATTACGGAAAGAAAATAGCATAAGTTTTTGGTACAACAACCCTCAGAAAATTAATGTTGAAACAGAAACTTACTTTTTCTTGACTTTTTAGCTTAGCTTATTAACTTATTCAATTAGCTTTTTAACTTTTAGAAATGAGCTTATTAAGTTTTTATCTTCAATTATTAACTTTTTAAAGTTAATTCACAGTAAGATATACACCGTAGGCAGCATTATATTACTATGAATCAGTTTTACATCAGCTTTAACACAATGGTGGACCCTGCAGACCACATTTGACCTGAAGATTTGCATTATTTGTTGCAAAGTGTTCTTTATATCAAAGTTACTGAAAAATAGTAACTTGGATGATAAAGGGGTTAATCACAACTTACAGGTTTAAGCGACTGTGAACACTGCAGTGTTACAAAATCATACAGCCTCCACTGTGTTTTATAATCTGATAGCAGAGTAGAGTTATCGGGTTTTTTGTATCCGATCCTCTCACACTACATGGCCAGTTTTTCTGAAGGGCAGCCTGCACGAATCATTGACACACTCCAAGTGGTGAGTAGTGACCTCAAAAATCCATTATATATCTCAAATTATACTTAGGTCAAAAGTTGCACGTCGTTGCTTTAACACTGAGAGGTGTACCATATAGGCCTGGGCAGGTAAGAACAGATAGGCTTAGCAAATCCTTAGATCACATGATCTATTTTTTTCTTCCTAAATTCTACCATATTCTGCAACGTGATGAAACAATTAAATGTACTTAAGAGCATATATATATATATATATATATATATATATATATATATATATATATATATATATATATATAAAACAAAAACACTGCAAAACCCCTAATAAAGTACAACATTTACAATACATGTATTAATTTTTTACCCTCTGCTTTCTTTCCAGTTTGGTTCAGACTATTTCAATTTCAATAAACATTTTAAAATTATCTTACTGAAAAGAAATTAAAGACATTGTATTTAGGTCTTAAACTTCAGCAGGATCTTTGAGCAGTTGGCATTCAGTCTCAAAGTCACAGCCATTAAGCAGGTCTTGGTAGCGCTTTCGGACATTCTCATAAAGCGGCACTGAGGCCTGTGGATCAGTCACACCAGGGAAGGTCAAAGGCTTTTCGTTTAATACAGGCTGCAGCCTTATATCTCCTTCTCCACAGTCATACAACACCAGGAGGAAATTGGCAGCATAGGGCAACATGTGGCTGGTACGAAAAGAGCGTTGAGTCTGTGAGGCGTAGTTGTTTGATGTCAGGGGGACGGTGTCCTTGAAAAAGCCGAGCAGGGTAAGCAATGGCAGTAGGGTGTCTGCGTGGCCGATCTGGACAGTTACCGGTTCACTGACCTTCTGACATAACCTGAAGGCCACAGGGGCAAACAAGCAACAGTGAAAATGGGTTACGATTACATAAGAGGATGAAAAATGTCTGTGATTGTTAGCAACCAGTAGAAAAACAGGGGATTAAACGTCCTCTTACTTGGTCTCGCTAACTGCTTTATCCAGTCGACTGAACAGGTCATGAAAGAGAATGCAGCTTGATTTGCTGTTGATGTCATGACCGTAGCCTCTTTTCCAGAACTCCCTCAGATCGCTCGCATACTCCATAACCTGTTTCGCAGCAGAAAAATCCCATGTAGCCTTATATTGAAGACAGAATGTAGATCTTTCATATTTTACAGCACTTTTTAAAGGTAATGGAAACCCTTTATCTTCGTTTTACATCCAGCACATTAATACTGGGAGAAGCACGTTAATTTACAAATAAAGACCTGAAAAGTGTAGAGATTTACCTGGAAACTTATTCTGAGTTGTGATTTATCCCACTTTATGGAACAGGTCCCTGGAGGCAAGTTATGGCACTAGATTGTAGTATCACTGTCGTGGTTGTGCCCTATGTGGATTATTGTTTGAGTTTCTTTTTTAGTTTCCAGTTCCACTTTATATTATTCTCTGTTTTCTTGTTCATTGGTTTCTTTTCCATTTTGTGTTATATTTAACCAGTGTTTTTTTTTTCAGTTGCTCTCTGTTGCCCCATGTGCCGGTCTCCTTTCTCCTTTTCCCCTCCTTTCCCTAGTTACTTCTGTCTACACCTGCTCCCTATCAGATAATTAGTCCTCCCATTGTTTCTGTCTCCCATATTTTTACCTCCTGTTCTGTGACTTCTTTTTTCTTAATCTCTGTTTTCCCATGACCTCCTAGTTTTAGATTTCTGTTGCCTTTTCTCGTTAAATCAGCAAAACTCATCTCTGCATTTGAGTCCTCAACCAACCTCCACCCAACCTGACAGTCACAACTAGTGGTGTAAATGAAACTGACTTGCCACAGAAAGACACTTTCATTTGGCAAAGTTTTACACCAGAGGCCCATCCTGCCACAACAACGGTTTAAAATTGGGTAGCTCTCATAGCAGTCAGAGGCTAAACCACCACACCATGAGGGAACATGCAGTTTTGAGCGGTCTATCATATCCAATCCTAGTTAAAAAGATTGACCTGGTAAAGTGTTCCAGGGAAAGCAAAGAACCATAAAAGGGACAATAATAACCATGAAAGTTAATATTTTACATCAGAATGGGAATACAACACAGAAAAATCAGTTTTTGTTTCCCCAAACTTGAAAGATGTAGGGTGGAGCATTTATGAATGATCTAATGATGATCTAAGTATCGTTAAAAAAACATTTGATAGGATTTGATATATATGTGATATATGTATATTGAGCTTAGGGGAGAGTGGTGAGTCATGGGGTGAGATCAGTCCACTACTGGGCTGACTGACAATTCAAACTAGCCTTAAGATTTTTGGTAAAGATTTCTCTTTATTCTGCTCAAATTAAAACTTTTAGGTCTATAGATTTTAGCAAAGTAGATAGGCGTAACTGTAGCTATATCCTAAGAGTAAGACTCCAACCTTTGCATCATCCTCATCAAAGAGCTGACACCAGGGGGAGTTTATTGCCTTGACAGCAAATTCATAAGTGCACAAGAAAAATGCAGCCTCTGCCAAATCTGCAAGTGAAACACACAGGAGATTAGTCATGTAAGCTGTGCAGACAGTGATCTCAAATCTACACCAAAAGAGGAAGTTTTTATAACTGTAATCTGTAAAGCCTCAAACAGGAATTAGTTCTTATACTTTCACCTAGTAGTGTTCTAAGCAATGTGTCCACAATCTGTAGCTTTGTGATATTGACTAGTTTTATTTAAATGCTTAATTTATTAATGACAATATGGTGAAACATAATGGAGATCCGCAATCAAAAGGAGAGGTAGCCAATGATGAAATAAAAAAAAAGTAAATGACAAGACTGTATGTAAAAGGTTAAAACATGGATACAACCATATGTGAGGAGACTGGACGAGACTCCTAGATGCTGTGCAATCTTCTCTTGAACCCTCATCATTTCCAGACCCTGCTTGAACTTTTGCACCTCTGTTACAGCTGACTGGTTTTGATCTACTTCCTGGACATACCGGGTGCAGTGGTTGAAGAACCTCATCAGAGTATCATTTACTTCATGGCCAAACTCCACATCTGCATGGACAGAAAGCATAAGGTTGTTCTGAGAAAGATTATTAGAGTAAAAAAAAAACATTCTATAGTTTTTTCATCATGTTAGTACCTTTGATGGCCCACATCTCTGTCAGTCCTGCTTTGAAGGACAACGTGCTGTTTACACATCTGTGCTTGGAGCTTGTTATGAACTTGATGAGTCCACCTCGAAGTTTCTCCTCGGAAATCATTGAGGGAAACAGCTTTGCCAGCCTGACAGCCAGATGCTTCAGATCCTGCACACCTTTCTGGACCAGTCTGCCGTCCATGTCCTCGGTGTACCACATCGTCCACTGGGTGAGGATCTCACGCAGCCAACTCTGCTTACCAGTAGAATTGTTAAGGATGATATCGTGGAGCTGCTGCATCTTCCTGACGTCCTTGGCATTTGGATACCTTGTCCCATGTCTTATGATGGCCGTCAGATGGATTTCCTGACATTCCAGAAAAGGAGGCTCCAAAATAGTTCTGTTTACAGCGAGTATGTCCTGTCTGAGATTTGGGTTTACTTCTTCATACCTCCCTTTGGTATTGAAATACTTGGCGATGAGGGGTATGCCTTCCTCATCCTTAAGCGTCACATGGTGATCAGCACAGCACAAGATTATAAAAAGGTAAAAAAGAAGAGCCATCGTGAAAGACCTGCTAGTAGATTTGAAAGCTGCTCTTAATAACAGAAGCTCCTGTTTGATGAACTGAGCAAAGTCCAATCCAGTTTGTTGACTTTTATTTCCTGACAGAACTTAACCAAATATGCTTTCCTCTATGCAAAGCTTAATATCACTCTGTAGGAAATGCAATTTAAAATGACATGCATTAGTATGGCCAGGCAATCAAATATTTTTCTATTTTTGTTATGCTGTTTATCCAAGGTTTTTTAATTCTATAATAAAACACTTTAGTCTCTATTTTTAATTGATGTTATTATTTTTTTCTGGAAAATGCCACAAATAGTTCAAATGATCTCATTTCCCCTTTGTTTTTATGCTTTTCACTCCACACCTATAATCAGCTTCTGAAGTTCTCAGTTAGCTGCAATGACCCTGCCTCTTTCAACAGTTTCCTGGTGTGTATCATTTAGAAGTCAATTGTTTGCTTAGTTCAGGGTCCAGGGGTTGTGAATTTCATGATTTCAATGGTTTTTCAAGTTCCAGATCAGAATTTTTTATGTTATAAAATAGCCCTGCAGAGAGAATTTCAGGGGCTGCAAAAATCAGAGGATTCACAAGCCCTCTACTTCAAAATCCAATATGGCTGCCCTGCATTCAAACTCATTGATAAGTGCAGAGGAATACCAACAAAATAGGATTTGTAGATTTAGCAAGTACAATATGTCCGAATATAAAATGTTTGAAAATTGTATTGCAAATCCTAGGTGGCTTATAAATATGTATGTATACATTGACATATACTTTTATACTTTTTTTCAGAACTGCTGTTAGAAAATGGCTAACCTTTGAGTGATGCCATTCCCTAATCAAATTTCCGACCTTGGAAGTACATAAATGAAGCACAGCATTAGTGTTAATCAGCCATTGTTAGAGAGCGTCTCAAGACAACACATTTGTGGATATGTGACCCCTAACTTTTGCATCATAGATGGTGAAGTTAATAGTAAATATCTATAAACATGAAATAAACAAACTCCACACATGATGAGGGTAATGCAATAATATCTAGGTTATTATTTTTTTTTTTTATAGCTTTTTAGGTGTTATTAGTCCAAAATGTGGCACTTTAGAGAAATTACAACCTGGGAAATTGCTCTTCTTAATAGCATTAAAAACAACTTTCACAGAAAAAAAAAATATTTCTTGTAAGGTGCCAACATCACTTTGAGCTTAGAATAATAATAATAAGCATTAATATTTTATAATATGAATGGGAGTGAAGGTGTATTAAATGTGTATGCGGTGTGCTGCTGCATTAGTGTGGGATGGGGAGGGAGGTAAAATTGCGCTCATTATGTGAAATTTATAGGAAGATGACTATTAGATTCTAATGAGGTTGGGAGTGCCAATTTTCATACATCTTTATATGAATCTAATATCCCCAGCCAGAAGTAGGATGAGAGGCCAGGACAGTATGTGATATTGAATGTATCTTATGGAAATCAACCTTAAGATTCACTGTTAAAAAAATAAATAAATAAAAAAATAAAAAAATGATAATCTAATAATCTAAACACACAAGCTTCCTTTAGTGACAGGAAAATAAAGCTTAAGACATCTGAAAGACGTCTTAAAGAGCATAACATAATGAGTATTACATACCACTGAATGTCAGGAGAAATACCAGGAGCATCAATTGTATTGTTAAAATAAAACCATCAATTTGCATAAATAATTAAATAAACTTTATATAAATATAAATAAACATTTTGTTAATGATAATAATATTTTTAAAACTGAGAATAATAATAAGAAAACTTTTATGCAGTGTATGTAAATATCTAATTATTTAGGGGCAATTTCATCCTGCACCAGCAGGCGGCTCCAAGTGTTTCAAACTTCCACGTGTAATTCATTTTCAGAAGACTAAAATATCCATTAGTGCCTTTATATATGAAAACAAAGAAACATATTAAGGCCGTTTATCACGTGTATTTTGTTATTTTGGTTATAAATGAATTAAACCCCTGAACATTATATTTTTTTGCTAAATTCTGTAGCAAAGTAGTTAGAAAATCCTACATTTCGGCGGGACGTGAAGGCAACAGGCATGACGCCTCCTTCGAACCGCCTGAAAACAGACTTAGAGAGAGAGAGAGAGAGAGAGCTCCTCAATACAGCTACTAGGGTGCCTGGGCGTTTTGATAAGCGTTTCGAAACTACAAAGGTAAGATAATTTCATTTACATGGCCAAATGTTGACACTGTTTTGTGGAAAGACAAACGATAGCTATCCTGTGAGGTTTTCTGTGTATGTGTGTGTGTGTAGGGGGGGGGTCTGCTTTAGAAGATAAGTCGTGTCGAGGTATAGCTGTCAGTAATTGTGAAAACTCCTAAGGTATCACAAACTGTTGGAACAACTACGCCTTATTTTGTAGCATATGGCCGTCAGTTTACCCCTAAACCACACCAGAGCGATATATTTAAACGCAGGCATCGCATAAGCTAACCAAACGCTCACCCATGGCCTTGGTTGGGGGTTAGAAACATTTCAACAGCTGCCGAAAGAAAAAAACATCTCCGTTATCATGTGTAATCCCGACCCTAGAGAGGCCAAAGCCCGTTTCACCGCAGTTACACTGACGTTTTCACCACGTATGGGTTTGTGGGTTATGATGGTCGAGCAAGAGGTGGCTATAGCTAAGATGCCATCATTTGTTGCTGTAATTCTGCACTAAAAGGTATCATGCTAGCTGTGGTCTGGAAGACTCCAGCTTTGCTGTCTATTTTTAGATGGATCAGTGAGTCTGTAAGCTCCGGTACAACGTCCGATTGTGTGATTGTGAAGTGGATCCGTGTCTTTAATACAAGTAGGCAGGCTCCTATTAACTATGACTTTAGAAATCTTACAGGTGTGTGTTTGTTGAAGAGTGACTGATTTGTTTGGAGGTTTTAAAAAGGTACTTCAGAGAGAAGGACGACTAAAAATAGGTTGGATTACACCTTTGAGAGACTCCTATTCAATTCAGTTCAGTTTATTTATATAGCACCAATTCACAAGGCACAGATCATATAGTCTGATTGATTCAAAGTTTTCTATCTAAGGAAAACCGGTTGATTGCATCGACTCATTGACTCAGATGCAATCCCTCACACTAGGCATGCTTATAGTGAAAGTGGAGAGGAAAAACTCCCTTTTAACAGGAAGAAACCTCCAGCAGACCCAGGCTCAGTGTGAGTGGCCATCTGCCGAGGCCGACTGGGGTTCAAGGAGATAGAAGCAGTGATACAAAAAGCCAGGCAGAAAAGCTCCGAACCAACTCCCATATCAGAGGATGAAAAGAGCACATCCAGCCAGTCACAGTCAGAGAAACAGGACTACATTGGAAAAAACATCTATATAAACACAGGTGTTGATGGCAGTAGCACAGCTGGTATTTCTCTCCATGGTGGTGTCCCAGCCAAACAGGAACAGACGAGGCAAAGATACTATGAGAAAAAACAGAGAGAGCATAACGTTAGAGATTGAACTGACTGATTATGCAGAGTGGAGGAATAGAGATGAAGCAAAATGATGAAATAGTGTTCCCTATGTCCTCCTGAAGTCTAAGCCTATAGCAGCATAACTATAGAGATAGCTCAGGATAACCTGAGCCACTTAAACTATAAGCTTTATCAAAAAGGAAAGTTTTAAGCTTACCATTAAAAGTAGACAGGGTGTTTGCATCACAAACTAAAACTGGTAGTTGGAGCCTGATAACTAAAAGATCTGCCTCCCATTCTACTTTTAGAAATTCTAGGAACCACTGGTAAACCTGCAGATTAAAAGCGAAGTGCTCTAAATTATAACATTAATATTGTCATATAACTAGCTGAATCTTAGAGGCTATTTCTTAACTATTTACACTTGCATTGACCTTTGCCTATTTCTTTTTTCTATAAAGTCTGATGTGCAAAAGCTGATTTTTATTCTATTCATTTCTTTTCAATCTTTCTCCTAATTTAACTCCATAAAAATGGTAAAGATGTTGCACCAGGTTCCTTGATAGAAGTTTTGAATTTTACAGTTTAAATAATAAATATTTAAACAAATTTTCTCTAATATTTCTTTCTTAAAACAGTAAACTAAATAATTAAAAATACCATAAATAGATAATGAAATGTATCCTTGCATTGTAATAAATCTTTATAACACAAATGTAATAAAATGGGCACACACAGTTGGTCGGATCCTGTTTGAAATTCAGGAAAGCAGCTGCGTTTTTAAATAATAAGTTTTAGAGTTATTTGTGTATCAATAATAACTAACAGCATTTAGAAAGAGATTACCGCATGGAAAATATATTAATTGTTTTCTTTTTATTTAATTTTTCCATAAAGACATTTTTCAGGTTTTCTTTAATGAGTTCTGGTGCAAATAAACCTTAATGACATCTAAAACACCTTCAGTCAGCAAATAGGGAAACTCCCAAACCAAAGGATTTTTTTCTTTAACAATTAAAAACACTAATAAGGAATCTTTTGTCATTAAGGGGGGAAAAAGTGTTCTGCTTTTTCAAAGTTAATCTTAAAGTTGAATCCTAAAAAAAACAAAAAAACAAAAACAAAAGTTTGATGTTATGCTCTTGCTATGACAACAAGTAAATAATAAAAATAACTCAGTGATTTTGAGTATTTACTTTGTTATTCAGGTTGTCTCTGAAACCTGCACCTGATGATAAATAAGAAGATTTTTCTTCTTTGCTAAGGAAAAGAGCAGCCATTGTTGCAATTATAGATCTTGTAAATAGAACAAAAACACCACCTCAGACCTACTGATAATAACAAGCTTTAAATTTCCTTTGATTAGAGAAACAATGAAAAGTTTCCTCATAAAGAAACGGTGCATAGATGTATTGCAGTGCAGTTTGCACTGGTGCTGTTTGCCAAGGTAATTTGTTTAAATGACTGTAATATGCAAAGCATCCTTTCTCTTGAATGCATTTCCTCTCTAATTCTCTCTGTTACTATTACATAATACACCAGAACCTCACTTTAATATTCTAACAATTTCTCCAACCAATAACATTAGCACCAGGGTCATGCATTTTGACATAATTTCTTTAAAATCAGTTAGTTTGATAAAGCTGTTTTCTCCCCACAGCTCTGAATGTGCCCTGTCCTCTTAGAGGACCAATGCCTCAAAGTGAATTAGTTGTTATAACAACCTGTCTGTGGTTTCTTCCAAGAGGCTGCAAAGAAATCCAGTGTAGACTGACAAAGCTAGATCAGTTGAAGGAGACAGTTATCTGAACAAATAGATAGTCGTGTGTCTAATAAAGGGAAGCAATGAGAAAGCAGATTGAAACATGCACATGACACTGGCGGTCAGTGTCAAGAGGGCCAAATGTGAAAAAGAGGTTATTGTTGTCTCTGTATCCAGCCTTTTGCACTGAAAGCAGCATTGCCATCCCAAATTATGTCTGACTCCCAGCCAGCGAGGAAGTGAGAGGGGTGCACTGGACTAGCGTGGCACAGCAGCGGTTTTGGTGGAAACAATGAGCTGTCTGTGGTCTGTGTGATTCAGCTCTGGAAAACTTGTCAGTTGACAACCTCTGTTTTGGCCAAACATTGACTTAGATATATCGCCCAGTTAGAACTATTAAACCTGGTCATCCTGAATCAGCCTTAGATCCTTATCGGCTCTAGATCACTTTAAAAACTCTAAAGGAATTGTAATATTTAGTTTTAAACAGGCTCTTGTTTTGTGGCCCCAGCTCTGCAGGGTGTACATAGTTCTCTTCCTCTCCAGTTCTCGTACCAAAGCGTCCTGGGGAAAGGCACAGACTCTCACGAATGCCTGCTGTGGGTGTATGAACTTTATCGAAACAAGTTGAGAGGGCAGATAAAAAAAAGTATGTAAGCTTCTTTCTGCCTTCTTCTCAAATAATAAATGTAAACATCTGTTTTTAAATCCTTAACAGTTGCTAATTAGAGTTTAGAAATAAAAACGAAGTTGCCGTGAAATTCAGAGCCTCAACCAACAGGTCTGCTTGAAGAATAAACAATGACTGACATATGTTGACGTGGCTGGGAATGAGTAATATCAACATCCAAGGGATGAGGCTGAAAACCGGCCAGGGAATAAACAGATAACGCTACTAATGGGGCAAAATAAAATTAGAAATCTGGCCTGCCTACAGCGTATGGTGTTTTTATTTAAATGAAATGAAATGTAGCTCAGGCCATACTAAACAGTGTTAGTTTATTCTTGTTTCAGTGTTACTGCAGAAAGAGCAGAACATGTGTAATATTCTGTGTAAAACACATCTTAGAACTGCTAAATATTATGATTGTCTGGTATTTATACTTCATATCAAATGCATGTTTTCCAACTTGAATGATTAGGATGCACTGATATGAAAATCTGGGCTAATATTGATAACCGATATTAATATTGCAAGAATTGCAAGCAGATATTTACCTTTATCATATATTTAATATATTTAGCTCCTTTGCTTCCCCTAAACACCTACAGCACTTTTCATATGACTGCCCCCTCCCAAAAAAAAAAATCCTACAAACCGTGCGACCATAATTTTATTGAGTATTGTTGAAATGCCGTTTAATTGCATTTTACTGGATAGTTATAGCGTTAGCAACACATTTGCTACGTGAGCATTGCAGACATGGAGTCTGTGGCTGCAGCTGTAGGCTTTGCTCAGCAATAGGCCATTGCTCCAACAGGGTCAATTATAGCAACAACATAAGTTGCCACGATAAGGAGACGAAAAATTCCCTGTACCTAGCACAAGCCGTCCGATCAATGTCTCCGCTTTTAGCGTCTGATGAATGTTGCTCACAAGCAACAGCTGGCCGTGCAGCTTACAGTCGAATTAGAAGAGTTGAGCAGTCATTGCCCTTTAAAATAAGGTCACGTCTCAGAGGGGATGATGGAAATAAAAGCCAGTTTTTCTTTTTTAGCAAAAGTTAGTTTTGTGCAGCCCTACTTTAGTGCCAATAACAATTTGTCATATGTAGACGTTTCAGAACTGCCGGGGTCTTTACTTTGCACTTTTCTGGGATAGATATGAGTTGTTTTTATAATTTATTAGAGGGATTCGTGAACAGAGACTTTTAGGGTAAGCTGTGTTTATCATTTTAAACATATAACAGAAAAACTGTCAAAGAGGCAAGAAGCCTTGGCCTAAACAATGAGGAGAGAGAGAGACAATCACCTGATTTAATC